CGAGAGAGAGAGGGGGGTGGGGGGGATTCTGCAGTGCGAACAATGACGCATCTGTCCAACTCCGCCCCCTGTGTCCGCTGCGACCTCGGTAAACGGCTCAATGAGTCATTGCCCATCTACTCACAAAAGACCCCACTCTGATCAACCGTCCCATTAGCAAGGTGTGCCTTTGTTGAGTAATCCACCCATGCTTGTCGTTTAATCATTCCCACCGAGAGCGACAGTTTTATGCCCGCCAAAAATCACCGGCCCCCACCAAGCCACCGGTGTGAAAGATTCACCAACCCCCTTTTTCCAATTTGTCCCATTCCCCACCCTTTGCCTCTCCTCCTTCCTTTCACTCCTTCTTTGTCTCCCCCCCCCAAAAAAACAACAAACAAAACAAACAAACAAAAAGAAAAACAAAAACAAAAAATCACCCCCTTGATGATGGAGTAACCAGGAATACATGTTTAGACTGTATTTGTGATTGACAAAGGTTTTTTTCTGCGTCTGTGCCGGTATCTCTGTGTGCCAGGCTTAGACCTGTTTAAACCTCTTTGTGCTGTCTGTGATGGCTTTTTCTTGTGTCATCGGTTCTGTCTCCTGTTTCTTCTTCTTGTCTTTTTTGTTTTATGATAAAAGCAGGGAATTTTTATTTCAAAAACTATGCAGGGGCATTAGTCTATTTTTTACCCTCTCAAAGGTAATGTTAGATCTATAGTTATGTTGCTTGCTTTGGGAAACTAGGAACGTTTTTCAAGTTCCTTTTTGTTTTGATGATCTTTGAGCAGTCTGGATGTAGATATGATCTATAAACAAATCACTGGTTTTTCTCACTCTCTCTCACTTGCTTGATCTTTGTGTTTTCTTTTTGTAGTTACCAGGTTCGTTGTGAGTGGTTGGCGGGTGCTCTGATGTGGTTTGCCTTTTTCCTATCAAACATGTCTTCTTTTTTCTCTCCCCATGCCCAGTTCGTAGGTGGTTGGCGGGTGCTCTAGTGTGGTTTGCTTCTTCTTTCCTATCAAACGTCTATCGTCCTTTTCTGTCCTCTTTCTTTTCTGTGTTTGTTTCTCTCTTGTAACCCCTCTTATCTTCGGCATTTATATGACCTTATAAACTAAAAAAACAAAGACACAAACTGCCCACTTACTAAAACTACAACTTATCCAGTTCTTGATCCAATGGCTTCTGTTTCCTCCAGTTCCCGCTCCAAGACCTCCACCAAATCGATGTCGGTGGAGCGAGGCGGGGGCCATGCTGTTTCTGTCTGTCTGTTTTACTTTTTCCCAGCACTCAATGACCATTGTGGGTGGTTGGCGGGTGCTCTGGTGTGGGAAAACCTCTCCTAAATGACCATTATTGTGTGGATATGCTTCTCTTAACTCAAACCCAAACTTCTCTTTCCTCCAGTTCCCGCTCCAAGATCTCCACCAGATCGACGTCGGTGGAGCGAGGCGGGGCCATGCTGTCGGCGTGGGGCGGCACCCCGGCCCCCATCCTGCCCAGCCAGCCCTTCGTGCAGGACTCGTCCATGCCTCTGCCCACCCCTCCCAACCCCACCACCCAGCTGGAGGAGGCAAAGAGGAGGCTGGAGACGCAGTCTCGCACCACCCCGGCCGCCACCGCCTCCCCCGTCAAGTCCAAGTAAGTGTTACCGTCGCATCGCTGGTCTAGTGGTAAGGTTCTCGTTTCACAGCCATAGGGTCCATGGGTTCGAATCTCGTCAGAGTAAGTGCAACTGCCACAACCATAGGGTCCATGGGTTCGAATCTCGTCAGAGTAAGTGCAACTGTCACATTGCTGGTCTAGTGGTTCGGCTCTCGTTTCACAGCCATAAGGTCTATGGGTTCGAATCTTGTCAGGGATCCGAAATTGTGTAGTTCTGAAAGGCACTTCACACATTTTCCTCACTTCATCCAGGTGGAAATGCGGAATTGGTACCCAGCTGTAGACAGTTTAAGCCTGCATGATAATTGGTCGCTTTGAGGCACAAGGTGGCTATCCTGAAAAATGTTATTTTGAGAAAATCGAGGGTAAAGTTTTTGCCCCTTGTTCAGTTTTTTTAAAAGGCAGAGAGAGTTTTCTCTATAACCAAAAAAATATGCGCACCAATGAAATCAATGCCCATTTTTGGTGTAGGTCAAGATTTCTGGAAACCCCTGAAGTCTGGGTTAGCCCGCTTGTCCTTAAATTCTAAGGGCTGCTTCTCAATGGAATTTGTGTGTGTGTGTGTGTGAAGTATCTGTTCACAGTACTTCATCAGCCGCTGTGACATAGTGGGTGGGTCATTTACCTTTTACCCAAGAGGTGTGATGTTGGTTTGCACGTGTGGAAAGGATTTGATTGAGTATCACCCTCTTTATGTCGGGATGTTTTGTATTCTACATAACATATACATAACTGAACTTGAGTTACCCTGACACAAGGGGTGGGGGAGGGGGTCAGCCTGGCTCTTTTGTTATGTAGATTGTGATGTCATGTGGTGTAAATTGTGTTGATGGCATCGTAAAATATATGTTGGTTGTTCAGAAGTTAGGCTCTCAAACTCTCAACTGTAATATTGTGGATTTGAATCCAGTCCTTTGGTAACTCATTTTACACAGATGTTCCTCACTTCCCCCAGGTGGGAATGGGTACACCCGGCTGTAGACAGTGAAAAATTTTTGTCAGCGTGTTAGCATTTTAGTATGTATATTTTAACTTCAGCTTTATGCTGGGCGGGAAGCTGAGAGTGTTTCTGAGTGTTTTTGGGTCTGCTTGGGTGATATTAGTTGTAAAGCTCAAAGAGCTTACTGTAGAGTGAATATGTGCTTTCTCTCTATATGTGCAATTACGTACAGTAAATTGATGTGTTGATTTATCACTTTGTGGCTTTGTTTTACGTAAGTTTATTTCTTGACTTATCCCCTTCTGGTCCTGTTTCAGATCGTTCACAGGGAGTTTGTCCAAAGAGAAGAGTCGCCCACCGCCCGGCGCCCCACCCGTGGTTGTCCCCCCTCACACACGCACGCTGCCCGCCGCCCGCAACCTGCCCTCAGAGCTAGACACGTCCGGCACCAGCCAAACGCTAGAGTAAGTCCCATGGGCTGGGGTTCAATCCACTCATAGCTTTTCTATTGTTACATATTCGTTTTGTGTTGAGGGGCAGGTTCAGTCCTCTCAGTTTTTGTTTTTGAAAAAAAAAAAATGTTGGTGCTAATTTTTTGTTGAAAGGAATAGATATGCTTTGACAATTTTGTTGTTTTGTAACTGAGGTAAAGCTTGGTATTCAGGACTTCTTCCTGATAAATGTTGAGTTAAAAGTATGATATTAAGCTGTATATTAAGGAACTTCCCTTCATTCAGTAACTATAAATGATAAAAGTGATTGAAGTATCTCTGTGTACCACAACGACGTCACGTTCCCCTCACGGCAGGGAATGTTGATGAGAGTATGGTGCATCTGTTGTCTTTTGAAGTCCATATCAGCTTCTCTGACCTTTGAATCGTTCTGTAATGTCCTCCCTTTGGAAAATTTCACGACAGTGGATCTGCAAGGACACACGTAACGTGGAGACGATTGCCTGCTGCAAAAAAACAAAAAGTCTTTATCATTGTTTATAATTTTTTCAGTGGGTTACGTGCTTTACTGCAGTTTCATTTTTCATGGAATGGCCCTTTTTTGCTGGTGATGCACACCTTGCAAGTACTCTGATACAATACACCTTGCAAGTACTCTGATACAACACACCTTGCAAGTACTCTGATACAATACACCTTGCAAGTACTCTGATACAACACACCTTGCAAGTACTCTGATACAATACACCTTGCAAGTGCTCTGATACAATACACCTTGCAAGTGCTCTGATACAACACACCTTGCAAGTGCTCTGATACAATACACCTTGCAAGTACTCTGATAAAACACACCTTGCAAGTACTCTGATAAAACACACCTTGCAAGGACTCTGATAAAACACACCTTGCAAGTACTCTGATACAACACACCTTGCAAGGACTCTGATACAATCGCAGTTTTCCGATGTAAAAAAACAAAAAAATAATACATTTCAATTTGGACCTATAGAAGATTTCTTTTCCATTGGTCATACGCTACCGTAAACGACGCAAAAATACACATATCTATATTTTGTGTGTATTTACAACTCGTGTTATTTGCTAACATCGATTTGTCGTGTTATCGGAATCTACCGGAGTTCTGGACACTCCAAATTGTTTCCCTCAAGTTCAGATTTTTAGGAAGGATTCTCAGGGAAAAACTCCGAAATTTGGTCAGAAATTTTGGCGAGGCAGGTCAAAAGATGTAACGAGAAATGTAAAGTGTAGTCGCAGTTGCAGTGACTAAGCTTCCTGGGTTTCTCCCATGCTTCTCTGTGCGCCGTTCCGTAATGCTGAGAGAGGTCTCGTAAACTTGCCCCACCTTAGCGAAGGAGAACAAAAAGTAATGCGTCGGACGCAGGAGAGTACAAACGGCTTACTCGGAGTGGTTGGTGTAGATGTTTTTACACGCAACGTTTTCCTCGAAGGTACTTGTCGGTGCGTGGAGTGGGGCCACAAGTGGTATTTCACATGTGGGTTTTTGAGGCAGGGGCCTGAGTCATGCGGGGTGGTATCAATGGAGTTATCTGTGGATGGGTGCAGGAGTGAGAGTCTTGACGGGCTGGAGGGGACACCTGTGTTATCAGGGGATGCTCCTCCACTCGCTCAGACCACGCTGAAATATGTGTCGCGACGCGGTGGAATCAGGCGCTTGTCAATTTTTGGACATAAAGAGTTAATGGTATAGCCTTAAAGCTTGTACATTTGCCTTGCTTTTGATGAACGAATTACCCATTTCTCTTGAATATAAGTTGAGATATTTGCAGTTTAAGGAGGTGGGGGTCGCCTGGTTTCAGAGGGAAAATTAACGAGAAAATGGCCACCAAATTTGATTTTGTTTACATAGCCTCAGAGTCCATGGAAACTGGCAATTTACTTTTTTAAAATGCCTTTAGTCAACGTTTTTCAGTAAAAACCCATGCAGAAATGGGTTCTTAAATGGACAGAAAAAGGCGTTGAGCCAAAAAAACCCCCCAAATTTTCTATAAAAAATTCCCAAACTTGCGGGAAAAACGCCAGTTTCTTCACTTTCATTGTTTTGAGGAGCGCCTGATTCCACCACGTCGTGACGCGTATGTTTAGAGAGGGCATGAATCAGCCACTCCAGCCCATCCACTGGTCCAAGTCCAAGTGGCCCAGGTTCTAAAGTACAAACGGAGAGGACAGAAACAGGAATCGGGGCCAAAAATAACATGACCATTCACGTACTTGTCCGGACTCAAGGATCAAAAAGACATACTTTTACGGTGGTAAATCGTTGAAAAGTTCAAGTCAGAATGCGACGGCGAAGAAAATGATAGCATATTGCATGTTCATGCTGACTTCATTCATTACTTTCTTATCTTGCAATGGCAAAGAGTTGACATCAGCACAGAAGGGAGAGGCCCAGGTAACTCCCCATCTTTCCCTGTGGATTATATCTGTCTGTGTAGCCGCTGATTCCACCTTCTTGTGGGCTTTTAAATTTCCCTGCAGCCCGGGGAGTCTTCCTTTATTTAGAATAAAGTGTGGTTAGGTGGACCACATGTCTTAAGTCTGAATCCGTGGTTCCCTTTTAGAAGGGGTATCTGTGGTTCCTTTACAGAAGGGGGAATCCATGGTTCCTTTACGGAATCTGCCGTGGTTCGCTTTCAGAAGGGGTCCCACACTCATATCAAATGGATGTCTCTGACATTGTCGTTATAGTGCAGAAAAAAACCGCAAGGGAAATGGTCGTTTCTTCAGGTGATTGTCTGGGACAGGTGGCATTTAGAGCTGGTTTAACTGTATACAAGCTTTCCAACTGTCCCGGATTCGGCAGTTATGAACTTGAGAACCTTCATCACATACACTCCACACTCCATACACACTTCCAAAACCAGTTACAATTAGATCAGACATCAAGCTATTACCGAATGGCATCATGCAGAAGAGTTAACGCTCAGATGCTACTGGATCGCTAACAACACCAACAACCAAAACCAGTTCCACTTTGTGCAATTTTGTTCTTTGGTAGGTAATATATACATATATACATGATGTTATAATGTTGGGTGTCGATGATTGGGTTTTGAAAAAAGTTGGCAAGTCTTACTGAATATAAAGATGTGTTTCACGGTTATTTCTTGATCGTGTGTGTCTCTGATTAGATTTTGAAAAAGGTTTGCAAGTCTACTGTGTATGAAGATGTGTTTCACGGTCACTGATTGGTCATGTGTTGTCTCCCTCAGCTCTCGGCTCGGTCGGCGCGCACACACAAGCGCCCCTTCCTCCCTCCAGCCCAGCCCGAGCGACACCATCATCGGCATCTACATGGGACAGGAACCCATACCCTACAGGCACCAGCTGCCAGGACGCGCCATCACACTTGCCCAGATCAAAACCCTGGTCACCAAACGGGGTCCTTTCAAGTAAGTCAAACCGCGTCTTTTAACAAATTCAGTGGGTGGTTGGCGGGTGCTCTGGTGTGGTTTGCTTCTTCCTTCCTTCTGGTTGAGAACCATAGATACGGGGTACATGGAAGCAAAACCAATAAATTGAGGGGAAAAAAAGAATATTAATCCGCTTACAGGAAAATAAGGCTAAAACAGCACCTGGACATGGATGGCTGGTGCCTCTATAAATAAATCATTGATGGTCACGGTCAAGGTTCTTTTTTCCTATCAAACGTCTTCAACTCATTCAGAGAGGG